AGAGTGTAGTGTGATAGTCACACGCTATTTGGATGCATTTGTAGTATTTAAAGTACATTGAGATATATGGGAATGTCTAGTAAGTGAATATAAGTTAACAATAATTTTGATGCATTTATTTTAAGTCCAAAATAGGATGTATGCATTTTTTGTTACTATGGGAATAGAATTCAATAAAAATTGCTAAACGTATAATGTGTCTAATTTTGGACATGTAGATATATGTATGTATTAAGTGATCTACTTTTTTAAGTTTTCAGTTTAGTGACCTGTGGGAATTGCACATACTAGGTCAACATAAATAAAGTAAATTTCCTATGTCACAAAAGTGGTATATAAGCAATGAAATGCATACAACTGTTCATTTACTTGAAATCATTGTGTTGTGCACGTTAGGAATTGTTAGAACCATTAAATGATGTTGCAAAGTACTCCTACTGCGTCTACTTCACGGAATGTGTCATCTATATTGTGTGATGTAACAGCTACATTCCAAAGGATAATGCTTTGCTGTGTATTTTATACATGGATGCAATTTAAGGAAGCTTTAGGTGCATTTATGAAGGTACTAACTAAGTTGTTCATTATTTCTTTGAAAGGAATACAACACATGGTATCGGGTTGATTCCAGTAAAAAGGATCCATCCGGTCCTATGGAATACGAGCATGTGACGTTTAAATGCACTTTTGGAAGTAAACGTGCTTCCCGAGGTGCTGGCTTTAGGAACAGAGGGTAAGTTTACTGTCTATGTAAATTCCAACAATTTCAAGGTTCAAAAGTACTTCATGTCAATCAGTAATTACAGTACGGCGCAAATCCAACATATACAGGATAACAAAGTACCAAACTGTGCATAACCATCCATGCACAGCAAGTTTCATGTCCATTGATGTATCTAGACGTCGGTTATCACCACCAGAAATGGCAGTTATACAACCGTTCATTGAAAGGAATACTGATGTCCATGAAGTAATGGATTTAGCGCATGATAAATTTGGCAAAGCCCTGCTGTATGATGATATTAAAAACATGCGGGCTAGGATGTATAAACGTAAGTCGTATGAAAATAAATGGTGCAGTAGAATAGAAATCGGCAGTTTGGAAGACCTGTGCATACAATTTGCCATGTGCTCATGTCGTTGAGGCTTTCTTAAATTCATATCTAACCTGTGGTAAGTTCTATTTCCTTAATTGTTACTCTTAGATATTCTGAGAAATAGTGACAGGTGGACACGTCAGTATAACACCACGGAGGACATTCCACGAGCCATCCGCCTAACACCGGAACCGAACAACGCGTTCAGAAATGCTTATGAACGTTTAAGACGTCGTCTCAACATTCTGAACCAAAGAAATCCGGATGCTGCACTGCGGGAAGTAGCAGAGTTCACAAGAAGGTTGGACACTTTGCTAGCAAATGAACCGCAAACAACTTTGACATTACGACGTGCCCCTGTTAATCGATCATTTTTGTGAAAATATTTGCATTACCTTACTGTTTCCATTTGTATTCACAATATAAACATCTATGTCTAAACTGTGTTACACTTCCTTTCCCTTCAAATGCCTGAGAGCGACAGTTTAAAGCATACTTTGGTTGATTGTTTCCTGATGAGAGCGCTTGGCAAGTCAGTTACAAATTACACCGATCTGTGCCTTATGTAATGCGTTTTATCAGCCGAAGATTTCTAGTTCATAGCATATCGCGAGTAACGGCGACTAATACGATTTATTGCCTATACCGTAATCACCCCAGGCTTACAACAATTCTAAACTTATTCTAACCTATTCTTCGATAATGCTTATTAAGAAGAACAAGGTGATGAATTACAGCCGGTCATGCGGATAAAACAATCCCACAGTTCTGGTTCAATCACATTATCAAACAATGGAAAACCAGTTAGGGAGTTCATTTATTAAATAGTGTTACTATACTATCATAGTGCACGTGAATTAGCTCAATGATTGCAGGTTTACCATAATCCTTAACTACCAACATAATAAGTGGGAACTTCTGCCTAAAAACAACCTTACTAGTAGCATACAGTGACAGAAAACTGACCTACATACTCCAAAACAAG